ATTACCGTGCACAAGTTCATTTTACCTAATCCTTTCATTACCGAGACCGTACGATCGCATGACCCATCGCTTATGGATCTTCTTCACCGGGGGATATCCCGCTTGGTGTCTCTTATTGTGCTTCCATACGACCGTAACCTCCAGTACCTGGACGTCCCGCTTATTACCGTATTATCTTTATAATTTGTTTGAGCATTCTCGCGGTCCATCTACCAGGATACGCGTTGGAATATTCGGCCGCCTTCGATGTCGGGAGCTTGCGGCTCTATCACTAGCGCAAGCGCCGAAAAAGAACTTCCATACCACGTGCCTAGAGTTGAGTTCGTCTTCACAAGCCGAGATGACGTGATATCACGCTCATGTGCACGCTGGGAAGCGTGCGGGGAAGACCCCGGTGATTGAGCGGAATCGATCTGGTTCTGACTGTGAAGTAATCCGCGAGGTGACGACTCAGCGGGGTCTCCCTCGGGGTGAACTCGGAGGGTTTCATCTATGCTCATAAGTTCACGATTCTTATCATCAGGATATACCGACTTTCTCGACTCGGAGGTAGATATAATAATCATCATGAGGGATCATTGGGATGATTTTGGGCATTATGGGTTATGATTATGGGTAAATTCGTCCTTCACAAGGAGTCGAACGCACTCTTTTTTTTTCAAGTCGGATCTCTTCCGATTGCAAGTTGCGGCAGATAGATCTTAAGATATACAGATAACGGCCGCCGGTCGCCGTTCAAAATTCTCTCCGCTCATTTCTACCCGACCTTCCTGTCGCATAAAGTACGCGCACTCGATATCTCCACCACGCCGACCAGTACCCTAAGCCTAAGGCTCGGAATTCCTCTCCGAGCCTGCAACCCCCGTGATTCTCGGTGAGGAACACCCCGTTTTTTTTATGGCGGGGTTCAAAGCCTCAGAAGAATGTCTCCCGCGCCTTTCAGGCAGACTCCGCTCACTCGCTCGGCCACAGGCGAGAGACGGAGCTGCGAGGAGGCTTCTATCGCGAGGCTTCCATGCTTTCGGTTCGGCACACGAGCAGCTCTCTATTGTTGTTCTGAAGGCGCGCGATGACACCAGGCAGTTGTTCAAGACTCGGAATCAAGGAATGAAATTCTTATGACAGCGAGCCGGCTTTCTGTCTCGGGTCCTGGTGATGAAGATGCTGCTGGCCGAGTATGAAGCTATTGCGGCTCGACACAGCCAGTTACCTGTTCGGAAAAGTCTAGACGTGCTGTTGAAGGAGTTCGCGCACGTCCCCGGTCATGTACTACGGTCGATTGTGAGTGGCTGCTTCGTTCGATGGGTTAGAAAGAACCACCATCGGTTTTCTTCGGTGACGGTGAGTATAACCTGCGGAGAATCTCCGGACTCACGACTAAGTGAATCGAACGACTTGAAATCAAAAAATTTGGAGTCCCACAAATCGTCCCTCGACCTAATTGTCATTGTCTTCCAGAGCAGAGCGATGTACTACGGACATTTCAAGGAAAGGAGTAAATCTCCGCGGCCGGGATTCCTTCTCGAAATGGCGGATCAGATGAAGTTTTCTCCCTCGCTCCTCTGTCGT